CACTCGCACTCAATTTCGGGAACGCTCGGGTTTAGGATTCAGGATGGTTTGTCCCACCGCCTAGCTGTGTCACAGTAGACCACCACGGTGCAAGTCCGACTTAGCCTGTTTTAGGGTGCCGGGTTCAGGTTGCAAGAGAGCGGTTGTTGATGGTAGGTTTGCTTCGGCATCACATGTTCAGATAGCATGACGACTTGGCGCAACTACCGGTTTGGGAGAAACTAAAGGTCGAAATGTCTCCTCGCTCTCGAGCTTCTCTCCCGACACTGGAGCTGGAAGCTCAAATGCGTGCAGGCAAGACACAACGATGTCGATGGTGCCAACCTCACCCACATCAAATGAACTAGGTGAATGTCTGACCCTCAACCCGGACGACGTGCGAATCACTACTTGTAGCCGAAGAGACAGGATGATCTGCCGCCTCTATATCTCCCACAGCCGGCTGTGCAGAGACTCTAGGTGAGCATGGCCAATTATGAGCCTGACAAGCACCAAATATCAAGCTGCACCTGCCTTTCCAGAACTGAACTCCTACCTCCTAAGGCCTCCTGGTCCACTATAAGAAACAGCAGTCATTGGCAATCATTATCTGCTGCCACGGTCGCAGTCGTCTCCAACCGCACCTGGATGGAGTTATATGGGCTGCAAGCTGAGGCTGCCACCTACTCCGAGCCAAAAACGACATATGCCTCTAGAAAAGGAGCGCCGGCCATGACTCTTCTTCTGCAGCACGCGGCGACAAAGACTTGCACTGGCTCTGCGCGCGGCTGCCAACTTATTCACTCAAGGATCAGTTGATACAGGTGGCCGGACACCATCTATTTGTTTCGGCTGGTTTCGGTCAAACTCGGGCCACGTCACGGTGAAGGCGGACGAGGGTGGCTCAATAGGTTGCTCGATGGCTTCTTCGGGAGCAGGCTCCTGTCCATGTCTGCCCAGAAATCGCGCGCACACACACACACACTCTCTCTTCTCCCCTTTGGTCCTGCGGAGAAAAATTTGTGTGTGTGTGTATGACTAAGAGTGTATGTATGTATATATATATATATACATGTATATGTGTACACAACGGAAACATGTATCAGAGGCATGCCTGAAGGAACCTGTAGCCATAGTCCATCCGGAAATTGAAACCTGGCCCATCCTGTTCCAAGCCTTAGACTCTACACGATCCGACACCCGGAATGCAGCCCAGACCGTGCTCCGCACCATCAAAACTCAGATGAAGGCCACATCTGTAACACAGCAGCGGCAGGTCACATGCATCAAACAGCTGAAGCAACCGAGGTTTACGGCTACAACAACAGCGCAGCAGCACCGCCACAAACAATCACCACAACCACAACGATAAGCAACAACTACAACGAGCCCCCTCCACCATGAAGAACACTACAGGAAGAAGCACAATAATCAATATAATAGCAATATTCATAACAGTAGTAGCGACAACAACAGCAGCAGCGTCGACGACGACTGGGCGGAGGACGACAAAGGCCACAACGACGAGGACGACGACGACAACATCATCGTCACCAACACCACCAAAACAACTTGCACCAGCAGCAGCAGCAGCCGCCGCGGCGTCAGCATACTGCAACCAGCAGCAGCAGCAGCAGCAGCAGCAGCAGCAGCAGCAGCAGCATCACCAACAACAGCAGCAGCAGCAGCAGCAGCAGCAACTTGCATGCTTGCATGCACAGGTACGCCTGTGCCCCCACAGCCTTCGACCGCTCGGCGGCTTTCTTTTCCGGCGATTGAGCGCCCACCTGCGAATGGCAATCGGTACTATGCTCTCTCGGTGTTAAGCGACCCTAATGCAGACCGCAAAGGATAACCTCCAGTGCTCAGGTCCAGACGGTCCAGAAGGACCCACCCCGAAATAATTACCTCCTAACAAATTCTTGCTACGGATGTGTTCTCGTCTCTCGTGATTCTGGGATGCCCTCAAGGGACTCAGATGCCTTTGCTTGGTTTAGGGTGACGGGGCTGCCTGGAGGGCAAAGCCCCACACAACCAAAAGGGTTTCGGCGCTCACAACTCGGTCAATTTCATGCGAGGCATATATATATATATGGCCACACGGCCTGATGAGAGTGAAGCTGAGGACCAACCGGCACGCATCAACTGCAATCAGAAGCTACACCCTGCGCAAAGGTCATGGTCGGTCCATGATGGTTCATGTAGAGTTAACAGAGGGGCTTAGGTTGCGTCCTGAACATCTTTGATTTTTTAGAACAGCACTCACTCTGCAAGGGAAAACCTATATAAAGACATGCTATTTGGGCATGACAGGCGCGTATGCCTCGTACTTGTTAGGGGAGAAGGCCTTCTACCATGTGGTGGCATACATGTATACATGCAGGTGCTCCTTTATAAGATGATATCTTCGAACAAGGGATGAGCTCGTGCAATAAAAACCACAAAACGTTTCCAAGCTTTGAGCGAAAACCGGATTTGGTGAGCTTGAGAAACTCCGTGGCTTTTGCAAGGCCTCTGGCGTTGCGGAGGTTCCGGATTTATCTCGCATAGCTTGTTCAGAGTTCATATGTTCGGCTTGCGTGCTTGGGCTTTCGACGCGAGGGCTGTCTTTTCCTACCGACTACGAGGGCATGGCGAGGTCTCGAAACGGCCTGCGGTGCGGGCTGTTGCTGCAGCAGCCATTCCTGCAGCTGCAGGATTATCGTTCAGAGATCGGCATGCTATAATCAAGGCTCAGGGGCTATTAGACTGTTTAGACTTTGAGAGGGCTTCGATCAGGTCTCTATCCGCGGCTTCCTTGAAACACATCTGTAACCCGTGCATGGAAGCATGCCGTTGCAAACACAGCTGGAAGCTCAGCAAAACCTCATGCAAGATCGTCTGAAGCAGCACCTGAAGTCCAGCAGTTGAACAAGCCTAAGTCCCAGGCGTTACTAAGCCTTCCGCCACCCAATCGCAAAGATTCCAACGCCCTTTCACGTGGGCCTTCTCTAGCTCCTTTTGGCGCTGCTCTTCTGAGCGCATGTCCTGCAACTACGAACCAAACATTGGAGTTTTGTATTCTCACTCTAGGATCGTCCATAAGAGTCTCCCAGCAAACCACGCAGTTCCTCAGCAAGCCGCGTTGAGTTTTGGAGCTATAGGTTTGGGAGGGTGTGTTGAACTAGCAACTTTTCGCCGCGCACATCATTTTCCAGGCATTGAAGATTCGACTTGTGGGAACCAATGTCGAGCAAAGCGGAGCCGGGCAAGCAATACTGACTACAGTCTTATATGAAGATGTACATATATATATATGTAAGTAAGTATGTATGTTTGCATATATATATATACATATATATATACATACATATATATATATATATGCGTATAACACATAGAAACAAAGAGATAGTCATGCAGCTGCGCGTGCCAAGCACATGCGAACCTCCTCGTCTGCACCGTCCACACCATTCACACCGGTGTAGTTGCCAACATTCTCACTGACCTCTTCCTCGGCCTGGCATTCCCAGATCACGTGAAGCTTACCTACCTCTGTTTCCAGTCAGGAATCCCGAACAAGAAGGTGTAGATTTCTCTGCTGATTATATGTCACCTTGCGTGCTTGAAGGCCAAGTGTAAGGGCGACTTCATCCGTTAAGTTCACGCCGCTAGGCTTTGACGTTCTGTCCGCCGCTGAGAAACAAAGGCCTCTGCATCCTCGACTGGCACTATCATCCCGACCTTTGCACGGACACAGCAACACTTCCGGCTGCAGACCTCTGTGAGCCCATCCCTGCCATCTGCAGCACAGTCACGGACAGAGCCCACCTTAAGGACGACGCAAGCTGCACACGACGATCAAACAGCACAAGTGTCCGGAAGAGCACCACATGTCCAGGCGCACGTTCTGCAAAGCCCGTACGATCAATCCGAAACCCGTGTCTCGTCTTGTGTTCAACCCAAACTAGGCTGGTCGTGCGCCATACCTGTTAGTGTCCAGTCACTCCCGTCTTACCTGAGTTCTTCTCATCATCTGCTTACACTAGGTCACTACATAGGAAAACATTGGATGGACCGTGTTCCGTGGAATTTTGTGAGAGACAGTTTGATGCAACACCGTGAATATGGCTACATTGACAGTGCTGTAGATCATATGTCTCCGTACATCTCTCGCTAGAAGAAATACTTTTAAAATTCTAATCTGCTAGGCTGTTGCATGTTGGCAAGAAAGCTTGCGGCAAGATGCTGATTTGCTCCATCTGCCTTTGTCAGGAGCAGGGTGGAGCCTGCAATCAGTTCGAAGGATTAGCTGCTGGTTGGCTGAAGTAACCGTGTTTACCATACCAATATGTATGTATATATATATACATATATATATATAGATAGATATGCCTCTATATAGATAGATAGATAGATAGATAGATAGTATCACACACATACTTATATGTATATATGTGCATACTGTTTACATAAATAACAGCGGCGTCTATAGCAATGTGAGTGGGTCCCCAGCCTTCGGAGCCAAGGTTAGCTGTTTGAACTCCACGATAATCGGCTGGGTCGTCATTATTCAAGGGAGTGCACCATAATCAAATGATACAATATACGGAATAAGACGTATAAGTTTATAATACAATAGATACAAATCAATATAATTAACATACTGCTGCAATTGAAACATAGCATGACATAACATATTATCTCAACAAGATGACAGAAGAATGGGTGAAGGTTGACGTGCATAACATGTTCGCCAGCGCCGACGAAGCTCGGGGATGGGGATCACCCATCCACGCAGTCAGCCTAAAGACGCCGCACAGGCCCAACAATCTTCTTGAAGACATCATGAGGCGGCTCCATGGTTTAGCGTGCACGGTTTCATTCCTTGCATAGATGCCCTCGACATCGTTCCTGTCGAACTTGACTCAGAGCCTGCCCAGCCTGTGGCTCTAAATAACGTGGCTTCCAAGGATGTCGCGAAAAGTTGCTCAAGTGATGGGCATCGTCCCGAACAAGGTAGTCCTGGAGGCAGAGGAACTCTACAATTTTGTGCGCCATCCTGCTATCCATCTCAAGCTCGATCCGGCAGCGACAAAGAAAGAGGAGTTTATTGAAAAGTTCTTCATTTGCTCACACCCGATGAGTTTTCCTGAGCCTTGCAAGGCTGCTTGACCGTGCTGGAGATAAGGGATCACAAGCCGCGACTCAAGCACGTAGACGAGCGAGCGGCGGAGGATTGCATAAGCACAGTTCTGAAGCAGCATGTGCCTCATTCCGTTGGTGATGGAGGCATTCGAAAGGATCATTTTCATGCTGGCAACGACCGCATAGAGACCAACAAAGCAGGTAAGATAGGTGTGTCTTTCCAGCACGGGGTAGTACGCTGTTATGTATGCTAGTACGCCCACAACCAAGCTTTCGGCAACGGCTTGACAATCACTCTCAAACAAGAGCAGCGGAAACATGTAGAACGTTAGCACCAAGAAAATGAGAATCTGCACACAGTACATGAGGAACTGCCCGGTCCGGAAGATGCCTGTGCCGGTAAGAAGCCAAAAAGCTGTAGGGCAGATGCCGAGAAAAGGCAATCGGGACGATCGGCAAAAGGTACATCTTCAAAGCTGCAAACACCTGGTAGTTCACCATGACGACACAGACGTTGATGACAAGCACCGTCAACCGTGCACGATGTCTTGCAGCACTAAATGCCTGCGGCGGATCACTCCGTATACGCCAGAAAAGTAGGTTCGTCAGCAAGGCATGAAAACATGCAGCGCATGAAACCACCTACCACATTGCAGCACCCACACGGTCCCGGGACCTGCGCAAACGAAGCGGTGCTTCATCTTGAGCCAAGCTGAAATCTGAAGTCACTCTGGCTCGACCGCTCCGGACGTTTCTTAAAGCTTAAGGGAAATAGCGTACCGCAGAGCTGCTCCGGTCCTGAGAAACTCAGAGGCACCCACCCAAAGGACGCCTAAATCCTTTTCAAAATGATCTGGAATCTTGCTTCAGCCATGAGTGAATCTGCACAAAAACTCAACCGTGCCCGAATCTTGGGAAGTGTCGGTTCTCCGAGAATCCTGAGCCTAGCCATGGTTCTCGCATCTTGCTACGTCATTGAGCGACTGTTGCAATCCGAGGGAAAGAAAGGGAGATTGACAGAGAAGGGCAAAGACGGACATGAAGAGAGAAAGCGCTAAGTGTGATCTTGGCCTCTCCGAAGTTAACTCTTCCTCGCCTGCGCCACACCCATCTGGTACACGCACCTCTCACGAATGCCACGTGGATGGAGAAAAGGGGTGCTTTAGTCTCTGGAAAGAGGAGCCCAAGAGCCGGAAGATGATTGATCGGAAATCTCCTTGGACCCTGGAACTGTATACCGCTGTAAACTTGATAAGCGGCAACCTGACATGCACGTTCAATGCGAAGGTGATGACGAGACCTACAGCTCTGAATCGTCTTCGTTGCTTCTCCAGTAGTCTGCATATGCTGGATTCCATGGTTCGGCCATTAAATTCATGAGCGCGAACATAAGAGCCAAAGAATCGCCTGCAGTCTAACACGACTTGTGTAGAGTTGAAACATACAAACGGTGGAAGCCCAGCTGTACAAGCAGCGTCGTCAGGATCCCTTCTAACCGATTCTAACCCGATCCAAACTTTACCCTTCAATCCCCGAAGCTTCGAGGGACCTTCAGCACATCTTCGCCACCTGCAGGGGACCACTGTGGCAGGACGGGGATCCATTGATTCCTGGAGTCTCTTCGTTTGGACCAGCAAGGTCTGCCAGCTGGAAATGAGGGGCTCTGTTGTCAGGGCTTTCCTGGGCTTTACCATGTCTGCAAGTGTACTGCACCATGCTTGCTACTGTGTTCCTACGGTGCTGCAGTAACAGTTACAGCAGAACTGCTGTACTCTGGGTGTGGGTATCCGTTCGATTAAGCTTGGGTGCGGAGGTTCTTGGGGCACCGGAAGACCATGGCCGAGTGAAGACAGGCTCGCTTTTGGTCCGAAAGGCCACGCTATGGAAGTTGAGGCTCGACGCCTATCGCCCTGAGGTCCGGTTTAGGGTTTTTGGGCCTCGGGTGCCTCGGGCTAAGGCTTAGGGCTTTTAGCAGGTATCAGGGGTAGCTCTGAAACCCAACGCCGAGTTGAGATGTGCGCGAAAAGCGTTGTCGCGGGCAGCACAGACCCGGTACCAAACCCAGCCCTGAACCCGACATCGCACATCCTTAAATCCTAGCTGATGCTGTGCGGCCTCGAATCGGAACTGCCAGCACCGTCCCCGGAGGCGCACCACCAGGCACGGTCACGGTGACCTCTATAGGTTGAAGAGAAGCGGGTCTTGACGCACAAAGAGAATCGACCGTTAAACTGCAATGAAAGCTCGCGGAGCACATCGAGAGCTTGAAGCCTACATAATCTTTCGAGAGATGCGTCACAGCTGGAGAAAGTCTGTGACAGGAGGGCTTGGTCTTGCTGAAGGTGTTGAGGTGGAGCTGTAAGAACTATACTTGCCTACTCTAGGAGACCACTCTCCCACCTCCAGCAATCTTCCAAACTCCGAACATGTACATCCTCTGAAACGGTCTAGAGTCTAAACACGATCCTCAAGCAAGGGCAGCTGACCGGAGGCTGCAACGTGCCTGCGTTCCTTGCCTCTTCCGCTCCGACATGAGCTTGCTATGGTGGCCATGCGACCATCAGGCAGAACTACCGAAACTGGAGGCGGTACAAGTGCAGCATATTTCGTGCACTAAGCACGGAGCACTCTTGGCACAGTCTGCAGTACTTGGTCAGCTTCTTGACTGTTCGCTATGGTCTGGCTAGATCTCCAGAGCTGGTCACGAGTCCAGTCCTATGTCATGCGGCAACATCCTTGGGTCCAGTGCTGCTCCGAAGTTGGCTTCCATGCAGTGCTTCTGGCGCTGACATGTTTTGAAACAGAAACTCAGCCGCCGGTTGCATGCGCGATGCTATAACGAATCAAACCTCAGACATTCGTAACACAAGCTCTGTCTTGCGTCAAGGCAACTAACTGACCAATTGCCTACGCTGTCTTACGCTGCTGGTCCATCCCGAGCACAAGAACCTTTTCAGACAGGCCATTCAGTCAACGAAGTTAGGTTGGATTTGGAACACCTGGGGTCACCTGTTGCGTGGCTTGAGTGTTTCGTTCTCGGTTAAAAACTTGTAGCCGCATTTTCATGTGCTGCAGATAACGCATCTGAAGAACCAGGACTATCTTCACGACGGTTTAAACATCCCCATGACACTGTAGCTGCTGCTCCTGAGGATGTCTCCGACATGGCGAAGATTTCAATTCCAATCTAACACAGAGGATCTTTTGAAACTTCTCCTAATCCCCTTGCCGATGCATACTAGGAAATTTCATATAACTGTTAATTACGTGGTCTGCACAAGTGGCTGAACAGGGCTTTGCTGAGTGTCATGCGAACTTGCACAAAGACAGAAACCCGAGCGCAACCTTGGACGTACCACTTTGCAAGACAACAGGCTCTTTTCAACGCAGAAGAAGCCTTTGAACAAAAACGCGGTGGTTCGTCCTCTCACCTGCTGTCCCACTCACCAAGTTCCATCGGATGCCTGCACAGGCCGCTGCATCATTTTGATGAATGCACTGCTTTAGCAGGGAGAAGTCCCCCAAAGTGTATAGTTGATACACCGGCACGCCTTGATCCGACGTGTCAAGCTTCAGTTTCCGAACTATAGGGTTGTGATCCCGAATCCCTTCAAACGCCCAAATATTCGAAGCAAAAACATCCCAAATGCATGAGAGAGATAGGCTTCCTTTTCCGAGGGCTGCTTGAGCAGGTGAGGGTTTCCGGCGCAGTTCGAATTTTGTTGCATGTTGCTGCAGTTGTTGGATGTTGCTGGCACCCCCGCATGTTTGGCATTTTTGGGGCATTTGCTGATGGACCCCGTGTCCCGAAAGTGCAACTATCCTGGCCCCCTGGCGCTGGCGCAAGAAAATCATAACAATTGCCAAATGCAGTTGGCTTTCATTTATCCGCATTCTGCCGACTGAGATGAGTCCAGCTATTTCAAAGGGGTTGGTGGTCAAACTCGGGGTGACGGTCTGGAGTTTAGGGTTCAGAGGTTTAGGGTCCTGAGAAACACGGGTTTGGCGACTTCGGGGCTTCGGGATCTTCAGGGCTCAGGTATCTCTGGAGTGTAAAGTCTATAGTGTTTAGAGAGGTAGCGATGTGCCCTCTAGCTCCGTTTTCCACTCGTCACTGCACTGCATGGGGCACGGCCACATCTGGCCACACTTGCAGCGGAGGTCTATGTGGGCCAAAGGCAGCAGCCATCGTCTCCTGTAACTCCGCAAGACAAGGCGGCAAGACTCGACTGAAGGTCTCAAAAAGCATAGCTCCTGGGGCATCGTATCCTAGCATGAAGATCCCCGTGTTCTGCATGCGTACTTGTGTTATCCGCGGTCCAATTCCTACCGAGGTGCAGTCAGCCAGGTGGTGAAGACTCCTCCTCTTGCAGAAGTCGCAGTGTCGGGGGAGGATCTGCCCCTGCTCCGTAGCCTTCAGTTGACCATAGCCCGATCGGGGGCGTGGTCGCTTCACAGTTCGGATAGCAGTAGTACCAGCCATCAGTGGCGTCCTTGCCAGGACATGTTCATGAGGCACATCGACCGACACGGCTGGGTCTCAAATCAGAGCAAGACCAAAATCACAAAATTTAGCACTGAGAACAGGTACTCCTGAACCAGGCAATGCACCCTAGCATGTCCAAGCGCCAGTTATTAGTCATATGTACTCGGACCACACGGCATCTGCTACATTTGTGCCGTTCTCCATTCTGATTCTGCCTGTAACTCTAGCTATCCTTTATCGCTGGGCCACGTTCAAACTTAGGAACATCTTCCTGACAATGGGCTTGTGAAGATCTGACTAGAAACACTGCAGCAGTGCCAACAAGCAGTTCACCGTACCTGGTGAGTTGTTGGTGCCGCACTTTGCAGGACGTGTAGTAGCAACGAAAGCGAATGCCGAAAGAAGATCTGTGTATTAGCCCTTGCGTCACCAGAGGTGAAACGAGATATTGATCGCAGGGTTTGTCTCGAAAGGCGTCGCGAACACTACCGGCTTTCTGACAGACTCTAGTTTTCAACCCAGCATCGGGTATGTCTTTTGGATATGCTGCACTGTTACCTGGCACAACGCATACAAGCAAACCATAGTCTGACATAATCAGTTGATGTTCGACGCCTTCCTCTCGCCTCTGAACATATAACACCTAAACTCAGAAGCGCACATTCTCTCCTCAAGCATCACCCGTAGACCTGGTTTCGGTTGAGAGGCTCCGCTGCTCAACTCCGGATCCAAGCTATCTCGAGGCAAAAATCCGGTTGAGTCCCCAGACACATCGGCGAAAGCACTTTCGAGGTTCAAGCGCAGCCACTCTTATGTGCGAAGGAAATGGAACGTCAAATTGAAGTCCAACCATACTGCGATGCGCTTTGACTGGACATGTGCTTGTTTCAGGCTCTATCGTTTGAGGCTCTATCACTGATCCAACTCGGTGTTCGCTGTGAGGACTTTGTATTGCCTCATTCTGGCTGAAATCCCACGAGAAACCTGCCAGAATGTTGCTGTTATTTAGAAGCTCCTTCCTCGCCCCTGCCGTTGTCTTCCTGACCCGATCACCATCTAGCAACAAGTAGCAGCGCAGGTAATGTCAACACACCTACCCGACTGCGCGTAGATTCACCTCCGTCGACTTGGCCGGACAGTAACGAAATGTTGATGCGATAGCAATGCCATCAACCAGGCACATCTCTTTCTCCAAAGTTCGTGAACTGCTGAAACCCTTTCAACGGGCAGTGCAGCATGACGCTGCATGACTCCAGACGATGCCGTTGTTTGGTAGCCGATGCTTGTGACAGCTGTATGGATCTTCGCCAGCGATCGGTGTCGAGCAGCGGGCAAGTTGGAGGCTGAGCTAAACCCCAAGCCCTGGCGTGGTGAGCTACGGTGACACATGCAAATTCTTTTTGTCCAAACGCCGGCCTGGTAGTTGATTTTCCAACATCCTGCAGGAGTGGCAAGCAGGGATAAAAAAAGGTCTATTTAGGGGCTCTTGCATTTTAATCCCCTTCGGTTCTACTAATTCCTGGGTGAATAGCGGCAGGGGCGAACCCTCGATCGGAACTATGGACTCCTCTCACGCTCGGTCAGTATTGACGTGGCAATGTTCTTTGCTTAGTGTTGCATGGTGGCTTCGTTCTTCGAACCTGCTGCGGGGATGATTGAAGTTAGAGTAGTGTTGTCATGACGTGAGTACACGAGTGTGCATTGCTCCGGGGTTGGACTTCTTGGCGGCCAAGACGAGCTAGATAATAACGAACGATCCATGCAAGTATGTGTTTGCAGTGGTAAACTTTTGAGGGCCAGGCCTGAAAAGTATATAATGGCAGATCCACCGTCTTTCTTGAACATTGGCTTGCCAGCGAAGCTCCCGTTCAAGCTGTAGAGCCCATTGCATTGGCTTCCAACACCACCAGCTCCCTCCACCACTAAAGCATCAACTCTGCCAAGGACCATAAGGTCATACTTGCCTTCTGCACCCACCCGGTAGTGCCCAGTAGATCCATCATCCCAGTTAACTACAACCCAGCCCGGAGGGCGAGGACGTTCCGGCTCGCTTATGGCGGTCATGCCAAAGCCTCCGCCGTCCTGCAAGATTGAGGTTTATGTAGGGTTCTCAACTGAGCTCCAGTGTTTATACACGAGACCTAGTAGGAATATCTTTTGCTAAGCTTTGCTGTCCTTGTTATTGGTCTGCTTCACTGCCCTCGCTGTGCTACTAAGGAGAGAAATGTCTCGCTTCCGACTCTTTCGAAAAGCAGGAAGTTCAAAGCAAGACATGCCGAGTGTCACGGTCGATATGTCTGCCACTTCATTTCCAAGAACGCAGGCTTGCACTGCCTGTTCAACCGTAACTCGACCCATGCACAGCCTGTGATCGAATTCCGGCTTCCCTGCATCTGGAAAGGCAGTAGCTTGAAACGCGAACAGTTGATGACATGGTGATGTAGCAATGTAGCAACACCACTGACAACATACGCAATCACAGCACGACAAGACGCCTCCCTAAGTTGTTGTGCTAGAGCTGCCTGGTCGTCCTGCGATCTCCAAGGTAATGAGCCGATCATTCTACTCATGGTTATCATCACGGTGAGGATACTACGGAATATTACGACTCACTACTAAATACGCTTGTATTCCTACCATCAGTGCCTTCCCTGACAGCCCTGCATGCGACCCGCCCTCCTGGTTCTGCCACTTCCAATCTGGCCCCCGCCGGACCCGCAAATCAAGCGTGGCAGACCTCAGGATGCGGTCGATATCGTCCTCAGGGCTCCCGATTAATCTGTTGCATGGGCCAACAGCTGGTACAACCCAGAAGCTCAACCCCTGACTCCCGTGTCCACAACCCCTCCTCCTGAAGCAATCGTCGCATAGCAGTAGCTACCGCCATCAGCGCGTCAGACGAAGCTTCTTGCAGTCGTTTCAAGTCTTCCTCAGTGCAAAGCTGTGCAAGCTCATGGGCGCAGCGGGACTGCTGTCTCTTGAGCCCCATCTTCTCAGCTTGGAGAAACCGATCCACTGTGGCCGGAAGACGGAGAAGCCTAGCCTCACAAGCATCTCTGAGGAAACCAACTTGGTAGTACAGGCTGATGGTGAGCATTGCATCCACATTGTCATGTGTGATTCTCTCAGGGCTGAAGGCACCTGGCTTTAGCAAGCTGTAGAAAGAATCGAACTCCTCCTTGGTCGCCACCTCCACCCGAATGGTTCTTTGCTGGGCCTCCCTCATTCCCGAGGAAAGCATGCTGTTGAACACCGGGGAGCACATGCGCAAGGGCACAGAGCAAACTGGCATGGAATCTCCGGAGCTGAATTCGAGCACGAGATCGTCCAGGCCATCTTGACCATTGGAGTCATCGTGCTTCCGCTTGCTCATGGCCAGGATTCACCAGGCGACTAGACGGTTGCTTTGGTAAGCTGCAAACCCGAGTTGCTCACTGCTGAACTTGTTTGCTTGCAAGAAGCCCACCCAAGCACATACATGATGTACTGCTGAGCTGAGACTAATGGCGTTGAAGGCTGACCCACATGGCTGACGGTGCTGGCAGCCCCCTATTCTCTGAGCCTACATGATGCACGGGCCGTTCATCTCCTCGGCGAATAACCCGGAACCCAGAATGTGGAAAACCCAAACCAACGCGGCAACACCCAGATGAACCGTTCCAGCTGCGATCGGGTCGCGCCTGAATTCTGTCCTTCTTCTATCTTGCCAAAATACAGCATGTGAAGAGACATCCAGGCTTGTGCTGTGCAACGTGTGAAGTTGCAGACTGTTTCGAAATTGAGTTTCCAGCTTCCGCAATCAAATGGTGATTGGAGTGCGGCTTTCAGTGCGGTAGATAGCCTTAGGCCGGCACATATTACCTCATCCGTGTTATCATTACTGCTCACAGCGCTGCAGGTGGAGCCGCGGTTCTTGAACCTAGGCTCTGCAACATAAGCCAACATGGCTACAGGATGCAGAACGGCACAGCACAAACTACCTCCCACTGTTTTGACGCAAGTAAAAAAAAACAAAAGTCCTCTGATCACAACTAAATACTGCTACCCTGGCCTTCAGGAGGCATGAGCTGCGAACAAATTTGGGTGGAACTAGATTCGCTGTCGGTCTTCTCTGATTTTTGTCCTGGCGGTGCTTCACAGGGACCTGTGGGCCTGTTGCATCCTGATGCCATGCTTTGGGCCGCAGGAGCATTGTTCGGCCCACGCCCACGACCTCGTGCTGAGTTTGAAGCTCGTGACAGGGCGAGAACTGCACTCCCTTGGAGCCTTCCCTTGTCCTGGAATTCGACCCGGACTTCTGCCAGCATCTGCACTGCAACGGCATCGGTCCGACATCCGTCCTTTCACGCCATGGCCGGAACGTCTGCAGTGCGACACATCAGTGTGAAGCAAGGCGTCTGGAAGGAAGTTACCTCAAGCTGCGCCCAAGGCCAAAGCGTTGCTGAGTTTTATTCCGGACAACAATTTAAAATGCTGCCGCTCTGTCAGGATAACGGAACTCTCCTCTGACGTGCCTCTGGAAGGACTTCCAGCCCGACACATTTGCGTTGTGCTTATTTCGCCTGCCCTTTAACATCTGCAAGCATAAAGCCAGCCCTTGCCTTGCTCGGTGTCACGACAACCAAATGGGGGACTGTTGCGCCAAAAGGCTGGCTCGGGAGACAGGCCGGAGCCCTCGGCGCGACCACGGGCCTCCCCTGCTCCGTTTCGATTGTCAGGGCTTGGAGCTTTGTAGCTTGGGATGAGAGGCTATGAATCCAGGGCTTTCTGTGCGTACATTGCTTACAGAACTGATGATTATTACCCTCCGAGACCCCCGACCCTAATCATCCCTAAACCGACCCCCAACCCTAGACTCTAGAGCCTAAGCCGACACCCTAAACCCCAAACCCCAGACCCTAAACCCTAAAGCTTCAAGACTCTAGACGGCACTGTTGAAGCTTTGGTCCCACCGAGATGCCTTTTTTCAGGGCTCCCAGGAGCTCAAAGAGCTCCTCCAACTTCTCTGCCTGGATGTTTTAACGGGGTTGCACCTGCACAGTTGATTGAATTCGATAGCGCTTCTGCCAGATTTTGTTTATTTTGTAGTTTATAGGGTTGTATGTTGGTTTCTTTCTAGGGGCCGTTATGATCGCGTTAGAGTTTGGGGATCCATTACAGGCCAAACCACACAGGCACGACAAGCGGACACCATTCGGCCCCTTCGCCAAATTCTTTGGAAGGCTTTGAGCCCTACCTTCACCCAGGTAGGTTATCTAGTGCTCTGGTAAACCCTTTAAACTAGAAGCCCTCCACCCACACGAAGGCGTTCTAGAAAAGGCATCGGGGAACCGTCAAGGCCCCAGCAAGCGTTCTTCCCTACCGCCCACAACGACTCGGCAACTAACTCGGGAAGTCTGCCTTCAAGGCTGGTGTCATGTGGCCACAGCTGAGGAGGACACCTGACCAAAGCTTCATGGTGGAAAGGCGATCGCTAACCCGTTCATAACTATCAGCCTTTTTGGAGCACTCAAGCGCTTAGTCATCATCACCAGCACCAACCCTAATTTCTCCATAGTATTCAGCGCCCTGCTGTCGCGAATGTTGTTGACTTGTGGAGCCGCTGCAAGCTGGTGATTCGTGATTGTTCCTTGGCGTGGCTTCTTCCTTTTCGCCTCGAAGACAAGTGTGTTGTGTGCCTTCTGCCTGTCACGGTTTGAAGGGATGGGAGTTGAATCTATTGACCGGTCTCTTTGCGCTGGCTAATTCACGCGCTCTCGAGTCGTGCGATGTGAAGCCGACGTGATGTAGTTGCCTTCCGTGGGTCTCGAGTGCAAGCATACCCGGAGCCTGGAGGAGTGAGAGCCCTGCTAGCCCGACTGCCTGCAGGCTTCTTGGCCAGGAAAGCCTTCAGTTTGCAGAGGCTCTCGTCAAACTCCTCCAGCCGGCTGCCAGGAAGGAAGAGGAAGATGTTTCCTGGGCTTGGGGGCTAGGGTTAACCAACTTCTGGTGACGCAAGGCCATGAAGCTCCGGCATTTTGGTTGCCTTGCTGCCTGACATGGAGAAGGCTTAGGATGCTTACGGACATCAGCGAGAAGTTGCTAGGTACCTGAGAGACGAGAATTTCGAGCCCAGCATCCGGGATAGATTAGATCCCCGGTGAAGATTCGATTCTCGGCTGGGTAATACCTGGGTCTGGCGCGGAAAGCAGACGAAAGCCCAATGTGCCTGCATGCTAGGTGTTCACAGCTCCCAAGCTTGCCGTAAATCGTAGCCGTAGCCGAATCGAGCTGCGGTCTACTCAATGCCTACACGCGACACTGTTGCCAGAAAAGCAAGTGAAAGATTTCGAAAGCCAAGATACAGAGAGATGGAATCTGGTGTGTGTGTCCAGGCGTGTGGAGGACCTCCAATGACTCCGCTTGCGTCGGGTTCCTCAGCTTCCCTCAGCACAAGAATATCGGTATTTAGAGGTCTGGGCCCTGAGGGGTGAGGGCTTGGTCTTGCAACAACTTGACCTTAATGTCAGGATCAAGATCGTTTTGACGTCGGCCCGCAAAGGGCCAGTACAGTGGAAGTAAGCACGATGCATGTTCATGAGGGGGAGCCAAAGCAAGAACGTCTGTGGCCCTACGGAGCGTCTAGCTCAGGGCTCACGTTGCGTCCCAGCGTCTCATCGTCCAAATAAATTCTGTGACCCTCATCCAACCAGTCCTTAGGGGAAAATAGACACACAGCACTCTTTCACCACCTTAAGCTCCATGCTTGATGTGATTTTTGCAAGGCTGCTCACACTTTGCATAGATTTACTCCTGAAGCTCTTCTGTGTCCCGAAACCCAAAAGGTTGGCAAAATGGATCCAATGCGTGCTAATATTGGGAGTCTTGGGCTACGAAGTTCCGGCGCCGTGGAGCCAATCCCACAAACCAGAACTTCTCAAGACTGCCAATTCAGAGAATGCCAAAGTTGTTCTGGCTTGTTCTGCGATGCTTTTCCAGCTGCTGTGACACAGAAGTTTGAGATCGCAGCGCCGACCATGCTCTGCAGCGATGTTTCCTGCCATCCACAACAGTAATCACGAAGGTCTCCCCTAAACTCTAAGCCTCGGGCTTGCAACTAGTCGAGGCGGTAGGCGGGGGCAGAGAGCGACAACTGCCCGAAACCCTATAACAACCTATAATCTCTGAACTCTGAACCCGAATCCGCCAAGCATCCTACAGCCTCAACTAGCCAAAAGGGCTGATGCTCTCATGGCTCGACCCCTCCCAAACCCGAAACTGCTGCTCCTGCCAGTTTTGGCTGAAGNNGCCACAAGCGAATTGCTCGACATCATAATAAGATCGGGGTGTACAATGCGGCGTGCGATCGAGGCGACACGCACAGAAAAAGGTTCGTTAATTCAAGAAATCTGAAACAGGCGCATGTATATGTGTATAGATATACAAATGAATACATATCTGCAGACGGAGATGGAGAAATAGATCGATCCATCGATAGACAGACAGATAGAAGGCTAGCTAGATAGATAGATATATAGACAGATA